GACTGTGGTGATCGGTGACGATCTGATTGACTAGAGTGATGATGTTTAGAAGATCTAGATGGTGAAGATCTTGCCTTACGAGTCTGGTGCGGTGCGGGTAGATCGGAGATCGGTTCACGACCCGGTTTGGCGTGTTCTTTCTGTGCACGAAACCGTTGCCACTCTTTTGCCACAGACTGACTGAAGTCTACGTGAATACGCCGATCATCAATAACAACTTTGTCCATCTTGAAAAATGCGTTCTCACAGTCCGATTCGTTCTCAAATTCAATGAACGCGTACTGAAGTGAGGCACCGGTTCGTTTGTCACGAATGACCTCGCAAGACTTGATCTCCCCGAAACGACTGAATATGATCTCCAAATCCTCGGATCGTGTGACCGGATTCAAACGACATACAAACAACACATTGTCAGGCGGTTTCACATTCGGATCGGGCAAATCGCCGATTAGAGTAAGCAACTGAGCATGCGTTTTTGCTTCTTGTTCAGCTTTGAGCTCGCCCAAACGACTGGGAGAAAGACCGACGTCTTCTTCTAATTCTTCATCTTCCTCAATGCGTGGAGGACCGATTTCACCTTGAATCTGTTTAATCAAAGCAGGTAGATAAGGAGCAGAGTTTCTCGATGAGTTACGAAAAACGTGGATGAGATCAAAACAAGGTGACTTTATTAGCATACAACGTTAGCACAATTAAAACGTGAGGAAGTAAGAAAGTAAGGAAATCCCAAACAGTAAAGCGCATGAAATAAGACCGTGATACTAGTGAATTCGCATAGAATTGCCGAGAACACTGTTTAAATTACGGAACTGTGTGCTTAGGGTGTTGGCCGTCTACTATGTAGCTTGGTGGTGGTGGAACCACTGGTGTGCATCGGTATTATCAAGTTAAACTACTCGATGGTCATGACTGAAGTGTGAGGCATAAGTCATGTGCACGCAATGAATCCATGCAGAACGAAAGAGTTCAAAACTGGCCTCTTATTTAAAATCAGCTGTCCTTTGTACTTCATCGAAGGAAGGTAACCAGATATCCGTTTCTCTGTCTACCTAATCGGTGGGTTTGGATCAGACAATTAGAGTATAATTTGGTCTAACTGAACGCCTTCATCGTATCATCATCATCGTACAGCGAAATACCGTGAAGCAAACTTCACTGGCAGCTGCCAAACTCACAATGCATACAAGGTTAATGGTAAAACTTAAGGTGGACAGGGAATGGATCTATTTTGAGGAAGGGAGAAGAAGATGAGCCACTATGGTCAACACACAGAGTACGCAATCGAACTCTGCATACATACCGTTTCAAGCATTCTGACCTGATAAGAAACGACAACAAGAACGCCACTGCTGCCGTTTCGCTGCCATATCCTTCA